AATTGCTAAAAGATTACAATGATTTTTCACATTACATTCCCTAATCATTTAGTAATTAATTTGAAGGTCCTCCCAAACTGTCACATTTTTTATTATCATTGGTCATAAATTTTTGTTTTCCAAGTTCCAAATTGGAGTGGCTTATAAAAATGTTTGAATGACTTTGTGTTTTCTGATACTACAATTTAATAGAAGTTTTACATAACACCCATGAGAATATAGAAATTACCATTTGCTTTTATAGTGTATAAAATAACTGTGCTAAAATTATATTAAAACTTTCATGATTTACTTACCTAAGAATTATATCCTGATGAAGTGAAATTTATAGCTACTCAGTTAATTTTATACAATCTTTAATGTAATGCACTACTTATTAAAAATTGAGTATATTAATGTGCAGGTGTATCAATATTGAATTAGATACAGACCAAACAAATTATCTAAATTCTTAAATTTCCCTATCAGAACAAAAAAACAAAAACAAACTCACTGCCGTCAAGTCATTTTCCAGCTTATAATGATCCCTCAGGTTTCTAAGGCTGTATCACTATGGAAGCAGACTGTCCAGTCTTCCTTCTAAGAAGTGGCTGGTGGGTTTGAACCACCAGCCTTCTGGATAGCAGTCAAATGCCTTAAGCAGTATGCCAGCAGAGTCACCATCAGAACAGGTATGTTTATTTACTTAGCTGACTTAGGTGTTATGAGATATTGTAGAAAGCCAGATATGGGATACTATAGAAAGCCAGAGTTCATTTACTTTACAAGTTTTAAGTATAAAATCATGAGACTGATTTTGTACCTACAATATAGGAATTGTTCGCATTACTTTATAGTCAAGTTTTGTGCACTCTAAATTATGTAAATGAATTTGCATTGCACAAAGCAATAAAAAAAAATTAGGTAATGAACATTTATTAATACAGGGTTGTCACTCTAGTAATAAAATAAAATAGCAAACAATTCTTTTGAATTAGACATATATTTTTATATAAAGCTAGATACCTGTATCCAACAGATGGAAAGCTAAAATAAATAAATAAATAAATAAAATTGTAATGAATACAAGGAAGTATACTCCTACCAGTAAACATAAAAAAGAAAAAGGAAATGACATGGTTTTTGTTTATAAAGTTATTAATGTTCTGTGGAAATTAAATTATGAATCTAACTTAATTTTTGTTAGTTTTTTAAATCTGTGGAGCTCTTTTACTAGCCATGAGGATTACAGATTTCCCCTGGAGATAAACCTAATCAGTCACTATATTCCTAAGAATGTGAACTTTTTCTTGATTTCTGGGATGTATATCTATGGAAGTATAAAGTAAGAACTCTTGGGAGGATGAAATAAAAGTTTGTTGGTTATTAAAAGTAACCGAGATACAAAGTCAGTTGAAAAAGTTTTAAATATATTTTTGTTTAAGCAACCTATCATCTAAGTGAAACATGATTAGTTTTTTTTTTTTTAGAAAAAGGTGAAAAATATCCAAAAAAGAAATATATGTACTCTCTGGTGGCATAGTGCCTAAGGCACTTGACTGCTAACCAGAAGGTTGGAAGTTCAAACCCACCAGCCACTCCTCGGAAGGAAGGTTGGGCAATCTACTTCCATAGTGATACAGCCCTGGAAAACAAAGGAGGGGTCACTATGAGTAGAGTTTGAACCACCAACCTTCTGGTTAGCAGTCATATGCTTTAGGCACTATGCCACCAGAGCTCCCATATATTTCTCTTTGGATATTTTTCACCTTTTTTTTTTTTTTTTAAAAAAAAAAAAAGCTAATAATGTTTCACTTAGATGATAGGATAGCTTTTAGCATAGAATCAACTATCTTTGTGAATAACTAATTTTGAGTTAGACCTCATGCCTTAGGAGGGGTATGTGATAAACCATGGTAACTATGTCATTGACCATTATAGCCTTGATCAAAGGATAACTAGGAGCTCTTGAGGAAGACCAGAATTAAATGCTAAGACCACAGTAGGATACCACTGCATTTGACTTGGGGGGAGGGAACTCGTTTATCACTGCCTGATATGGGTGAAAATCAGAATAGCTCTCACATTCCTGATTCACTATGAAGTACTCAGATCTCCACAAGGAGAATGAGAAGAGCTGCTTATTTTCTGAGTGTGGTGGTTAAAGTGCAGACTTTGGACCCACTTTATGTAGATTTGCAACTTGGCTCTATCAGTTACTGAGACATCAGAAAATTCAATAACTAACTCATAGAACATAGTGAGTTATTATATGTAAAGTGCCTGAAACGGTGCTTGACACACAGCAAGCAATATTGAAGTGTTAGTTAACTGTCATTTTTATTATCTGTAGTGTACATAGCTATCATCACCTGTATAGCTCCATATGGGGGGTGTATGCGTACTAGGATGTGTAGTGGGGAGAAGTCTTAATAAACAAATTCATTTAGAAACTTAACGTGCAAGACTTTGGGGAAAGAGAAGATAAATGTCTAAAACCATCATTATTCAGTAACATTTATTAAGTGGCAGCATCTTGCCTTTCCTAACAGTGACTCCCGAACAGATAATCTGATTTGAACAGATAGCTCTGCAGATGTAAGCTAAGATTGCTTTAACCTGGATTTCCAGGTGACCTAAGTGATTTCACCAGGTCTGTATCTTAGAGGACAGTCACTTTGGTGTTGCACAGTGGTTAAAGCACTCAGCTGCAAACCTAAAGGTCAGCAGCAGTTCAAACCCACCAGCCACTCTTTATGAGAAAGAGGTGTTCATCTGCTTTCAGAAAGATTTATAGCCTTGGAAATCCTATGGTGCCGTTCTCCTCTGTCCTCTAGAGTCACTGTGAGTTTGAGTCAACTAGGTGGCAGTGGGTTTACTTTGGTTTGGTTTATATCTTAGAGTATCAGTAAAATTCAGAGAGCTGGCCTGTTTCAAGTCTCCAGTCAAACAATCTTTGCTTATTACGCTCCATTAGAAAAGTGACTTTATTTTCTAAGCCTTACATTAGGATACAGGATCTGACAAGAATGAGTCTATGTATATATGAAGAAGTTTAAGAAACAGAAATGAGTTGTCCTCATAATTTTAAGAAGTACACATTTATTGCTTCATGATGTTTTATGTCCTGGAAACATTATGAAATTACAACTGGCTTACTTCACAATGGGTCATGGCAGCTTTCCTTATGTAACATGGTAGTTCTGATCATTACTTTGTTCATGTATCACCGTTTCCTCCCACAAGTTTGTATTTTACATATAAAAAAGAGATCCTGTATTCTACCAATGTTTATTATCACCAAATACAATTTATAATATTTTAAAAATATATTCCATCACTTTAAATTATTATTTGAATTAGAAATTCTTACCACGTTGGAAACATCATGCATTTTCTTGCTAGTAATTCTAAGGCATAATGGGTTGCTGGTGTTGCAGACTCTCCTAGTACTGTTCCCATACAGACTGCCAGCTCTAGTTCATTTCCACGAATCAGGTATGCCATAGCAAGCTTGTTCAATAAGAAAAGCATTTATTTAAGTTACATAGATGCTGTATAGGATCATTATTCCCTTTTGCGCTCATGAAGTAGATAAAATAGCATTAAGGCACAAATCAATTATTCTTATGAAATATTGATTATAATATTCCTATTAAGTACCTATGTAAGAGTGACTACAATTTCTAGATAGAAAAACTAATAAAGTGAAATGAAGGATATCTTATAAGGGCAAAACTTAAGAATTTAGAACACTTGCCTCTATTTTTACAATTAATTAATATCAGTCTCTGCAATATCCTCAAAATCCTTCAGTCTCTCTATCAGAAATATGTAATTATTAAAAGCTTCTTCAAGATTGTACAATCACAATCATTCCATAAATATACATTTATATTTAAGTATAAATAGTAAAACTGCAAAATAGAATCTATAGCTTTGCTTAATAGTTTTCTCATTACCTCAGCAAGTCAAATGAAAAGTACTTCAAAATTAGAACTTGTGAGGAATATACTTATATATACTTAAAAACAAGTGCTTTCATTTGCATTCATTTTCATAATTCTAATGACTACACGTGAGGTTGTTAAATAGGCTTTGATATTTTGACTTCAGAGTTGAAGACACCTGAAACTTAGAGAAGTTAAGTGACCTGCTCAAGGTCAGTATCTTAAAAAAATCAACTTAAAGTCAGGTCTTATGAATATAAATCTAGAGGTACTTTTTTTCCCTTACTACACCACAGATACCCATACGAGATGAAATGCTTAAAGTTAGGTTGCTACAAATATATATCTTGTGACAAAAAGAAGGAAGAGCTCACAGCTTATAGAGTTTATGTGTGTTTATTTAGTACATATTACTCAGGCTTAGAAAGCATGCAAAATCAGACCTCAGGGAAGAAATAATCACAATTTTTTTTTCTTTCTCAAAAACCGTGACACACCTAAAAAGCTTCTCCTTCACATAAACCAATTTAAAATATTGTACCTCAATATTATCTACAGATAGATGGCAACATGCGGCTAGCACTGCTCGACCATCCTGAAAATACCATTCTGCCAGTTCTTTACTGACTTTGTGCAGAAGTCTAGAAAGAAAGAAAGAAAGTATATACTTTATAGAAACATAGAAATTCCATAATAAAAGTAAACTAATGCCCCTTTATAATGGGCTTATTAAAGGACAAATAGGGTTTTATTTGATGTCCTTGATTTAAGTATAAAGCTTGAATTTTGGGGAAAAATAAGGGAAAAGATCATTCCTGGTACAAAAGCCAATAAATAAGCCCGCCACAACTATCCAAAGAATGGTCTAAGAAGTTTAAGAAGAAAATTTACCATCCTGCACTGAATAATTTATAATTCAACTATAGGAAAAGCTAACTTTGGAGGTAACACATTGAAATAAAACTTCAGAATTTATGTTGTACACAAAATATGTATGTGGTAAGTCTTTAAAATATTAATTCAAAAATGGCAGAGAATAGCACCCAAGATTCTGGGGGAATACTCCACTTTCAACACATTATTTATTTAAAGTTTTATGATCCTTTCTACTTGATGGGGGCCCTAAGAGTTTTGTTATTGTTATTTGCCATTGAGTTGGACCTGACTCATAGCGACCCCTCCTTGGGTTTCTGAGGCAGTATCACTACGGAAGTAGATCGATATCCTCTTTTTAGGGTAATAAAAAGAATCAGGAGAAGGGGGATGTAGACTACAGGATCATAAAAAGAATAATAGGATGAAAAATACCTAATTTTCATTTCTTTTTTAGAAGAATTTTTTTTTAGATTTCTTCTTTAAAAAAAAAAGAGGAATAAATTTATTCATGACACTACACTGTGGTCATGGAATGTCAAACTTCATTATTGTGGTACTATATACTTACTTTACATTAAGAAGAAGCACACCTAATTTTCATAATGCTAATGTCCCAAAATATTTAGGTATTTTGTCATTCTCTCTACTGAAATGCTTTTCTGGAAGAGACATAAAATGTGTGCAGGCTGCACACATGCCTGACATTTCCACCAATAGACACTATTAAGAAACTAGATTGTGGTGAGAAATGCAGTAGGGGACTTGTCTCTGTGCAAAGAAGGATGGCATACATTGCCCTCAAAAACTTCTAAAAGGAAACCAGCCATAAAGAAATATTAACCAAAAACAAACAACAAATCACTCACTCATTAAAGTCTTCCTTGTAGACATCATCAGAATATGACGATCCTTTAGTTGTAGGAGTATGTAGGGTTTGCATATTTCCCTCACAAGCAGCCTAGAATTTAATTAAATCTTTAATCTTCTAAAGCTAATCATTAATAATGGACAAATTTCAGAATTTTATACTGAGCAAGGCATACTTAAATATTTTTAATTTATACAACAATTTGAATACCTCTTAGAATCTGAAAATATCAAATGTTAACTCCATTGTGAATACCAAAATATAGTTTTAAGTAAATGATTACTAGAAAAAGTTGCTCAAATGTATAGTATAAAACATTTAGCTGCATGTGTAACGTTCAGCATTGAGCTGCTGGTATAGTTAAAGATCTAATAAAGTCCAGTTGTGACCAGAACAAACACGTATACCTAAAATGTCAAGAGATGGCTGGGAGGTAGGTGGAAGCCAAGCCACCCATGGCTTTGTCAATCGTGTGAAGGTGAGCCAATCAACACAGACTTCTTCCTTCTACCCACTTGCCCAGCAATGACTATGGCTCACATGATATTGTAGTTGTACCTGTGCAATAAGCAGAGCTTCTTTAAGTTGACCTCTTGACACAAAAAAACTGACTAATTTTTTCACATCACCAGTGGCTATGCAGTATGGAATGACATCATCCTTATCTTCCTGGATTAACTGGTCAGCTCTCCTAATAAAATAAAAACATGTTTTTATAATATGGTAATTTCAAGGTTCTCAGTTAGACTCAAATTTTCTGAAAGCATATCTAAAATTCCAAAGATAATTTCATACTTTGGCAAACCACTTTTCTTTAAAAAAAGAGTTACATTTTATAGCCAAATCACATATGGAAAATAAATAAAAGCATTCTAAAATAAATACTATAGGTAATTGTGTAATTGTATGTCTTTAGAAAAATATGTATTTTCATATTAAATAGCTGAAACATTTCAGATCTTAAAATTAATGTAGTTTATATAAAGCAAGTAATTTATTTATCTGAAAATAAGTTGTAAATTAGGTATGTGTAATGGCCTATCTACTCTCAACTGGGAAGATGGGGCAATCTACTTCCGTAGTGATATTGCCTTGAAAACCCAAGGAGGGGTCACTATGAGTCGGGTCCGACTTGACGGCACATGACAACAACAACAACAACAACAACAACAACTCTCTACTGGATTAATCAAGTATGTAAGCTAAAGATAGCAGAATTTTTAGTGTTTTAGTGAACACAATAATGGGTTAGAAAGACTCTAACAATCACACAAAGTATAATCTAAGCCAAATAAACCAAACCACTGCCACTGAGTGAATTCAACTCATTATGACCCTACAGGGCTAAGCAATACTCTCTCCAATCTGCCCTACATATTTTAGCTAGTGTGATTATTTAAAATGCAAATCTGAGAAGGTCACTTTTTACCTTGTTTAAAACCCTTTGCTGTTTTCCTTTGTTCATAGAGAGTGTGTGTGTGAGGGGAACAAACACGTTCACCTGTTTGTAAAGCCCTGAACAGCTGACATGAGGCTACTTTTCTACTCACACCTGGCACTACTTGCCCCTGGTTTCTGCACTCTGTTGTTGTTGTTGTTGTTATGTGCCATCGAGTTGGACCCGACTCATAGTGACTCCTCCTTGAGTTTCCGAGGCAGTATCACAATGGAAGTAGATCGCCCAACCTTCCTTCTGAGGAGTGGCTGGTGGGTTTGAACCGCCAGCCTTCTGGTTAGCAGTCAAGTGCCTTAGGCACTATGCTATCACACTGTAGACACAGTAAAAACAAAAACAAAAACAGCTGCCATCAAATTGATTCTGACTCATGGCTACCCCATGTATGTCAGAACTGTGGTCAATGGCTGTGATCTTTTGGAAGCAAATCACCAGGCCTTTCTTCTGAGGTGCCTCTTGGCAAATTCAAAGTATCAACCTGTTAGTTAGTAGCCAAGTGCTTAACAATTTGTGCCAACCAGGGACTCCCAGACAGAGTAGCCTCCTTTTCAATCCTTTATGCTGCTCTCTAAGCCTGTAGAGAGGCTTTCTCTAGCCTCCTTATTTGGTTACCTCCTATTCATTCTTTAAAGCTCAGCCCACATATACTGGTCTATCAGATTCCCTCTGTTCCAATATACCTTAGGATATACTACATTTTAAATCTGTGGGTATCTACTATAAATAAGCAATCTAGTATTAACATTATTGAATGTTAGAAATCATTCTAAATGATTTTATGTCATTCAATTAAATTTTGGCTGAGGTCAAAACAAAAATGTTCAGTGAAATAAATGCCCTCTGCTAACTTGACTTTATTAAGGATTTAGTGGAAGCAATAACTTTCCCAATTGTGCAATAAGGTTATAGGAACTTAGAAATATTGGGGAGAGTTAGAGCTTAGGGTGGGGAGCCTACTGTCTGAGGGCTGGAGCCAGGTGTTGCTTAATTTACTGCTGGGAAAGTAGGTGCTAGGGAACAGTCTACTTTCCCATGGCAAATGTGCTAATCCTTCTGGATTTCATGTTGAGCCTTTGATTGATTTTTGTTTGTGTGTGTGAGCTGCAGTGGATTTTTTCCCAAACCATGTCTCATAAAAGAAAAGTAAGTTTCTAATTTTTATGCCATAAGCAAAGTAATTACTCATACCATAATAATCTATAGCCCTGGCACAGTGATTGGCAAATAAACCAGAATTAGTTGCCATCAAGTCAATTCCTACTCATTGTAATGCCACGTGTCAGAGCTGATTTGTGTTCCATAGAGTTTTCAATGGCTGTGATCTGTCAGAAGCAGACTGTCAACCCTTTCTTCTGAGGTGCCTCTGGGTAGAATGGAGTCGCCAACCTGTCAGTATCTGAGTGCTTAACCATTTGGATCACACAGGGACTCGTGATTGGCACACAGTGGGCACTAAGTATTTACTGAATGAATGAATAGAATTGAATTGGTTAATAGTCTTAGGTTGTGAGTGAACTGTGTCCCCAAAAAAGATACGATGAAGTCCTAATCCCTAGTACCTGTGAAAAGTGACCTTATTGAAAAGAGGGTCTTGACAGATAAAATTAAGATAAGGTGATACTGGGTTAGTGTGGATGCTAAATCCAAAATAATTGATGTCCTTATAAGGAGAAGGGAGCTCTGGTGGTGTAGTACCTAAGGCATTTGACTGCTAACCAGAAGGCTGTTGGTTCAAACCCACCAGCCACTCCTCGGAAGGAAGATTGGGCAATCTACTTCTGTAGTGATACTGCCTCGGAAACCCAAGGAGCAGTCACTGTGAGTCAGATTCGACTTCTTCTATGTGGAGAAATTTGTCTTCCACAGTGACAGCAGTGAGTTTTTTTTGAGTAATAAGGAGAAGAAAGCTGACATAGAGACACATAGGGGAGAATTTCATGTGAAGGTGGAGGCAGAGATCAGAGTGATGCATCTACAAGCCAAGGGATACCAAGGATTGCTGGGAACTAACAGAAATCTGGAGAGAAGCATAGAACAGATTCTTCTTCAGAACCAATCTGCTGACATTTTGATATTGGACTTGTAGCCTCCAGAGCTGTGAGAATAATTTCTGTGTTTTAAGTTACCCAGTTTGCAGTACTTTGTTACAGCAGCACCAGAAAACTAATGCTTCTGAGAATCAAAATTCTTCGTTTATTGCACTGTAAAACAAGTATATTTAATGAAGTTTGCTCAATGGTTAAATCATTTATTTTTTTTTTTTTTCTGAATCATCAGTACATCCCTTATGTACACGGATGAGAAATAGCAGGAGGTAGTTTCTACAGAGAGATTTTTAGATTATTTATAGAATAAGTATTCCTCTTACTTTTGGTAACCAGAAAATCTTACCAGTTATATTTCAAAAGTAATATACTAGCCAGTGAGTACATTGCCTGATGTGTCATTCCTCCATCTATGTGGAGAAATTTGCCTTCCACTGCCTTCATCAGAGGTCAGGTCATATGCAAGAACACAAAAATGACTTGTAACCAATTTATTTTGTATCAGTAGATAAAAAATACAGTCATTATTTGTAATGGCATAAGAAGTCTTACTATATTTATATATTACTTCCTTTTAACAATTGATTTTAAAACATAGATTTGGACATAGACTGTCTGCCTTACCTCTGCATTAACTTCTTCCAGTATTTCACAGATACTCCTGGTGCAACTGACAGAGCTTTGTCCCACTAGAAGGGAAGAAGAGCATAAGCACATCTATTTGGCTGCATTGTTTCACGCTAACTAACTTATTATTATTATTTTTAATGAACTAGTATTTATAGTATGGAATTTTTTGAGTGCTTGAAGTTACAACAATATTTTTGTATTCTATCTCATGCACTCCACAGACTATAAGAATGGTCAGATTCAAAAAAAAAAAGGTAAGATAAGTAAACAAAATCCCAAACCTAATGAAAGAGTAAGAAAGAGATAAAGAAAGAGGAAAGGAGAAAGGGAGATAGGGAGGAGAGTGAGAAAGGAGAGACAGACACAGAAAGAGAGAGAAACAACCAAAAGAGAAAGATAGAAGACTGATAGGAACTAAAGTATGTGGTTTAAAAAATGTATTAATGCATGATATGAAGTCAGAGTAAATTTTTCTTTGATCTGTAATAATCCATACTGAAGTTTTTTTACTTCACTGTTACTTATATTTAACAAATAAGCTTTTAATTCTTCCCCTACTTATTTTTTAAAAACTGTATTTATTGTCATTTCTTTATTATACTTTTCTCCATATTTTACAAATTAGACTTCTATTGAAGAAACTCATTGTTCAATCAAATCTGATGTACTGCTATTTGGTAATAAAAGTTCCAAGTCTGGAAGGGAACTGAAGAGAAAATATTCTTAAGTATGAATCAAAACTTCGTTTTAATTAAGGTGACCCAAACACTACTATAATTAAGGCTAAAAAATTAAAATAACAGGTTAAACTTTAAGTAGGTAATTTTTTAATATCTATTTTAATCACATTACCGTCTTTTGTTTTAAGTAACTCTTAAATATATGTCTTTAGTAGAAATTTGTCTTTATTATACTATGAGGGTGAATGGGGGAAAGAAGTTGAAATGAAGACTAAATTAATTTTGAATTCATCAAGCTCTTTCAAAAAAACATATTTGATTAGTGAAAAGATAAAATATTTTCCTAACTCCAACAACATCCCCATAGCATTGTTGTTGTTATGTGCTGTTGAGTCATCTTTGACTCATAGCAACCCCTCCTTGGGTTTCCGAGGCAGTATCTCTATGGAAGTAGATTGCCCAATCCTCCTTCCGAGGAGTGGCTGGTGGGTTTGAACCGTCAACCTTCTGGTTAGCAGTCAAGCACCTTAGGCACAACACTAATAGAGCTCTTTAGCATTAAGCTTACAGAAATAGAAACTATTCATGAGGTGACAATGAACAAACACAAGGACGCTCATAATGATAAAGGATTAGAAGCACAGTTTTTTGGATCATTAAGTCCATTGATGAAACTGTATAACAACAAAATGATTAAGCTGTATAAGCAGATTATCTGAGAGAGGCTTTAAATTAAAGACAGTTTAAAATTATATACATGAAAATATAAAATTCAGAAACAGAAAAAATTGCAATATTTTACCAAAATGTAGTCCTTTCTCTCTGGTTTTTAAAAATAGTATTTTGTGTTTTAGTGAAAGTTTACACAATTAGGTTTCCATTTGACAATTTCTATACAAATTGCTCAGTGACATTAGTTACATTTTCCACAGTGTGTCAACATTCTCTTTAACTGTGTTCTTTTTGTTCCATTTCCAGTACTAATTTTCCTGTCCTCTTATCTTCTCATCTCTGTTTTAAAGTAACTGTTTTTTGGTCTCATGTAAATGGTTTTTCAACAGAGAGTTGTACTCACGGATAATATCCTTTATTTTGTGTGCCAATATTATTTTACTAAAAGGTAACCTTCTGGGATAACAACTGGACCAATAAGTTGAAGGTTTAAAGAGTATCTAAGGGCAACAGTCTCAGGGAGTCCTGTAGTCTCAATTGATTCAGTAAGTCTGACTTTGTAAGAATTTGAGTTCTGTTCTATATTCTTCTCCTGCTCTATCAGGGTCTATTCATCTATTGTGTTCCTCTCTCCTGGATTTTTGATACTCTTTCTAGTAGTGCTGTTGAAATTAACCTATAAGTCAAATATTTGTTCAGAAGTAAATTTTTTACATTGCTCTTTAATTGTTAGCTTCCATGGAGTCCACCCCGGACCTCATACAAAACGGAATCCAACTCTCAATTGTGATCCATCCATAGGGTTTTCATTGGCTAAGTGGTGGCTGGGCTTGAGGTGCATTGGCTGGGTGTCCTGACGGAATACAAGAATTCTACGACTAAACCACTACTGCCCTTGCTCCCAGATTAAATAATTTTGAGTGTGTAATCTCTTATCAGTAACATTTTCAAATGGCACATATTATTATTTTAGGTCAAGCAGTAATTTATTGCCTTTGTGCATGGGAAAGAAAAGGTGAGTTAAATTTAATTTTAATACATTATAATCAAACAGTATTACTTATTTTATTCTACTTATAAATATTCTTAATGTCATGCTTTATTATTATAAAGTTAATTAACCTATAACTTTTTAAAAGGATCCCTGGTGGTGCAGTGGTTAAGTGCTTGGCTGTGAATTGAAAAGTCAGTGATTCGAACCTACCAACTAAATCTGTGGGGGAAAAATGTGGCAGTCTGCTTCCATACTGAACTGAGATTTAGTCTTGGAAATCCTATGGAGCAGTTCTACTCTATCCTATAGGATCACTATGAGTCACAATCAACTAGACAGCAACAGTTTTTTTTTGGTCTTTTTTTTAAAAAAAAACCCAGCTTTTAAAAAATAATAAACTATGAAATGAATACATGACATTTTAACTTTTTTCTGGGGGAAAGAAGAGGAGATAGTGAACCTAAATAGACACACAGAAAGTGAAATGCTCAAAGAATTTTCACAAACTAAATAGACTCATGTAACTAGTTTCCAGATAAAGAAGCAGAATATAACCAACACTCTTGCCTTCCTTCTACTCCATTCTAGTCACTGTCTACTTCCTAAAGGTAAATGCTATCCTGAATCACTACAGCATGGGTTCATCCTGACCTCTTCAAAAAAATCTATTTTGCTGATTCAGTCCTCTATAAGAAATCAGGCTATGCATTAGCATCCTTCATGAGATGTTCCACAGTGGAAATGCCTCTTCTGGCAAATGTGGGATTGAGTTATGACCAACAGTGTTAGCAAAGGGATTCCACTATGAGCAAATTAACCAATGCACATATATAAAGATATGTACATCTATGTTTGGTTTGGTTTGGTTATATATGTATGCATGTTGTTGTTGTTGTTATGTGCCATTGAGTCGGACCAGACTCATAGCGACCCCTCCTTGGGTTTCTGAGGCATTATCACTATGGAAGTAGATTGTCCAGTCTTCCTTCTGAGGAGTGGCTGGTGGGTTTGAACCACCAGTCTTCTGGTTAGCAGTCAAGTACCTTAGGCACTATGCTACCAGAGCTCCCTATATGTATAAATAAATATATTTATAAATATATATTGTTGTTATAAGAATCACTTGGAGGATTTTTTAAGATACAGATTGTTGGGCTCCATTCCCAGAGCTTCTGATTCTATAGCACTGGCATGGGGATGGAAAGTCTTCATTTGTAACAGATTCTCAAGTGATGCTGATGCTGCTGGCCTGGGGATTTTCCTTTGAGAAAAACTATTCTATGGCATACACCAGATATCAGACTGGCTAAGAACTAATTAGATTGAGGAAAAAAAATCAGCTTACTATTTAGTATTTAATACTTAAATTTGACAGTGTAGGATCATAACAAATTATGGATAACACTGTGAAGAATGGCAATTCCAGAACACTTAGTTGTGCTCATAAGAAACCTATACATAGACCATGAGGCTGTCATTCAAAAAGAAAAAGGGGATACCGCATGGTTTAAAATCAGGAAGGGTGCATGCCAGGGTTATTCTTTCACCATACTTATTCAATGTGTGTGCTGAGCAAATAATCCAAGAAGCTGGACTATATGAAGAACAATGTGGCATCAGGATTGGAGGAAGACTCAACAACAACCTGCAATATGCAGATGACACAACCTTGCTTGCATAAGTGAAGATGAATTGAAGCACTCACTGATGAAGATCAAAGACTACAGTGTTCAGTATGGATTTTACCTCAATACAGAGAAAACAGAAATCCTCACAATTGGACCAATAAGCAACATTATGATAAAGGCAATAAAGACTGAAGTTGTCAGGGATTTCATTTCACTTGGATCCATAGTCAACACCCATGGAAGTAGCAGTCAGGAAATCAGACATTGTATTGCAGACATTGTATTGCACTAGGCAAATCTGCTGCAAAAGACCACTATAAAGTGTTAAGAAGCAAAGATGTCATTTTGAAGACTAAGGTGTGCTTGACCCAAGTCATGGTATTTTCAAATTGCATCATATACATTGAAATTTGAACAATGAATCATAGCAACCCCTCCTTGAGTTTCTGAGGCAGTGTCACTACACAAGTAGATTGCCCAGTCTTCCTTCTGAGGAGTGGCTGGTGGGTTTGAACTGCCAGCCTTCTGGTTAGCAGTCAAATACCTTATGCACTAAGCTACCAGAGCTCCCTGAAGAAGAGCCAATGCTTTTGAATTGTGGTGTTGGCAAAGAATAATGAAAAAGACCATGGACTGACAGGAAAACAAACAAATCTGTCCTGGAGGAAGTGCAACAGAATGTTCCTTGTATGTGAAAATGGCTAGGCTTCATCTCACCTACTTTGGTCATGTTGTCAGAGGGACCATTCTCAGGAGAAGGATATCATGCTTGGTAAATCTGAGGGTCAGCAAAGAAGGGAAGACCCTCAATGAGATGGAATGACACAGTGGCTGCAATGATTGGCTCAAGCACCGCAAGGACTGTGGGCACTAGGCAATGTTTTGTTCTGTCACACATATGGTTGCTATGAATCAGAGCTGACTCGATGGCACTTGTTGCTGTTGTTGTTGTTAAATGCCGTCGAGTAGGACCTGACTCATGGCGACCCCTCCTTGGGTTTCCGGGGCAGTATCACTACAGAAGTAGATTGCCCAACCTTCCTTCCGAGGAGTGGCTGGTGGGTTTGAACCGCCAGCTGTCTGGTTAGCAGTCAAGTGCCTTAGGCACTATGCTACCAGAGCTCCCCGATGGCACTTAGCAACATTTTGAATATTTGTTAGACTCATTGATTTTACTTTGGTAGCATTTTACCTCTCCAAGTTCAACCATAAGTTCACAATATCTCTGAATTTGTCCTAATCTCAAGTGTATTTCAGCAGCTTCCTTCAGTCTTTCCTCTTTAGTAGGTACACCAATACCACCACCAAATTTGGACATCTTGACTGTTGTTAGTTCTTGGGCTTCAGACTGGTTAAAAAGAATATAAAATATATGGTCAAGCATTATACAGATAATATTTTTAAAAAAATTAGCACTGAAAATTAAATGTTTAAAAATCATGCTCAAATAATAAGCCTTAAGGTAAACTATGGACTTTAGTTAATAATAAGGTATACTGGTTTATCAATTGTATAAATGTTCCACAGGAATGCAAGATGTTAACAGTGGTAGAAACAGTGTGTCAGGGGGAGAGAAGGTATATGGGAACTCTCTGTATTTTCTGCATAATTTTGCTGTAAATCTAAAATTTTTCTAAATATTAAGTCAATTTTAAAAACATTGCTTTCTTTCTGTAAAATGTGATACCAATTTAAGCATAATATTTTGGTGTGCATAACTTTCTAAGCTTTGTTTTTATACAGAAGTCCAGGGGTCAAAAGGTAGTAATAAAGAACTGAAATATACAACTGTTATTGTTGTGTTTTGCCATCTAGTCGGATCTGACTCATAGCGATCCCTCCTTGGGTTTCCAAGACAGTATCACTACGAAAGTAGATTGCCCAACCTTCCTTCCAAGGGCTGGTAGGTTTGAACCACCAGCCTTCTGGTTAGCAGTCAAATGCCTTAGGCACTATGCCACCAAAGCTCCTAATATAAAACTGGTCAAAATATATATAAAGGTCTCTAATAAAAATGCAAAAATTACTGGCTTATATCCTTTCAATTGATTTTGCACTTTATCATGAGTTCCTCAATGTGTGATTAAAGAATAAAGTACCTCTTCTTTATGAAAGGGAGCTGTGGTAGCATAGTGCCTAAGGCATTTGACTGCTAACCAGAAGGCTGGTGGTTCAAATCCACCAGACACTCCTTGGAAGCAAGATTGGGCAATCTACTTTCATAGAGATATCAACTCAGAAATCCAAGGAGAGGTCGCTATGAGTCGAATCAACTCGATGGCAGTGAATTTTTTTTTTCATCTTTATGAAAATAATTTTCCTTATGCCATCAAATCCACATTCTTGGCACAGTTCTCTCCATGCTCTAACAGTTAAGTCAGCCATTGAAATGTCATTGCAAATATATAAGAGATTTCTTCTTTCTGGTTCCAGGATTGGTTTTATTGACATCAAAGGGGTTATCACACTAGGTATAATAGTTTTATATTAAGGTTCATCAAGAGCCATGATATAATCAATTTTAATATAAAAATCTCAAGATAAAGCAAATCAGGCTCTTTGAGAATAAAATCAGAGTAGTCTATTTGTTGCAATTATCTGGTAATAGGTTTAAGACAAAACATTTCAAGGAGTTCCAAGTGACCAATGAAGAATTTCATGACACTCAAACCTATTCAAAACTATGGTTGCCTTAATCCATTTGTAAATACTTCATACTCTTCATGACAGCTTTGTCCAAAGATTTTTCTCCTCAGTATTGACTTATTTCAATCTACCTGTGATGATCATATAGATTTTTCAGCTTTTATCATTTATTTAAGAAGCCCTAGAGGCACAGTGGTTAAAGTGCTCAGCTGCTAATGGAAAGGTTGGGTAGTGTGAACCTTTCCATTAGGTGGGAAAAAGATGTGTCAGTCAGCTTCCGTAAAGATGTACAGCTATGGTAACCAAGCGGGGCAGTTTTATCCTATCATATAGGGTCACCATGAGTCAGAATGAACTCTATGGCAGTGGGTTTGGATTTTGGTTTTATCATTTATTTATTTTGATAGTGAAAAAGCAGAAACAATTTTTGCTTGAGCACGAATTTGCATACTTTACTTACTGTTCTAAATTTAATCAGGTGTTTCGAATGCATTATTCCTTTAGAGTAGTTCTGAGGAAGTAAGCTATCATCTTGTCCTTTTATCACAGCAACCAAGTTCCATAAATTGTTACTGCCACCTGGAGGCTAAAAAGTTGACATGGAATAACCAAAGATAGAATGGTGGATAAAAACTGACAGCATTTTGCAATTTCACAAATATTATAATGCAGGCATATTTAAATTGAAAAATTAATAAAGTAACTATACTTTATCTCATTTATTGTTTTGGGTTTTAAAATCACTTTCTTACATTATACTGATTGTACTAAGAAGGAGCCACTGACTTGGGATGGCACATGTATAAATATGTGACAACTTAATGACTATACTTGTAATGATTCATTTTGGCTAAGGACACAAAGTTCATATTTAATTCCTACTATACTTACTGATAAACATTCTGAAAACCATCTTAGTTTTTGTGCTCGAGCATTTCCAGTTACCTTCTCTATTTCTTGTTTAATATCTCTTGAAACTTTACCACACAAAAGAGGAGGAGTGCCTCGCTCTATAGCATTATCTAAAGACAAACAACATTCAGTAAGAAAAAAACTGCTAATAAAATAGTAGTTAAAAAATAAAATCTAATACACGCATATTTTCAATACCAGTGTTCCCGATAATTTCTTCCCAAGATCTGTCTGCCAGAATATTTATTTGTAAAGGAGTGATTAAAGGTGCTAAGGACCAGAGTCTCACGGTAGAATCACGGGAACAAGAGGCCATAGTGAAAGGGCGACTTGGATGGCATGTTAAACCTGATGGAAAAAATAAACCTCTTTTAACTAAAGTAGACATTGAAAAATAATTTTATATGTACCTAATAAAACTTCTACAGAATTGAAGTTGTGAAGAAATGTGAATAACTGCAAGGTTCCTGGAGCCAAAGTACACTATAATTACATTTAATTAATACATTGGCCAAAAAATAAGATTGTGATGAATTATTTAACATACTTTATGAATAAGAATGTAAAACTGAATAATTATTATAAATCAAATGGTCCTTAATGAAGCTATTGGAATTATATTTCAGTCAGTTAAGCAGCAGGTATACTGTAATACCAATAGTGTGCACAGTAATCTGTGAATTAATAGATGGATGGATGGCTGCAAGTTATAGTTACAGCATGAAGAGCTGGGACTTTTAAATTTAGAATATCAAGAAATGAGATACTTTCTCATCTTCAGTCCCACCCTGCCTCAGCTAAAAAGCCATTGAGGTAAAGCCTATGGGTGGGAATGGCTGCGTTGGGTTACAAATGAGGGTCAAGTGATGCACAAAATATTATCTGATTTTCTATACCCAGCAGTACAGTGCTAAAAATTGCTATATTCTGATCATTTCTGATGACTTTTTCTACTGTCTTCTAAATACTGATATTTCAATAATAAACATTGATACTTTCTAATAAGAAAATGTTATTTACAAAATGAAATACTGCAAGATCTTCAAAATATCATATTTCTTGTGAATTATAATAATAATTAATATATCAGAACAAATAAATAAAAAACACTTTACCATATACATCTGCACCATGATCATATACAGTATCCAAACAAGTTCCTTCTCGAGTGTCCCATACTTTTATAGTATAGTCCCAGCTACCAGATATTAGTAGATAAGGAATCTCAGTGTTCCACATTAATCCCCTTACAGGTGCGGTGTGTCCACTAAGAATATTTATGCAAGCATCTTGAGTATAATCCCAGATTCGAACAGAACTGAAAATAGAACATTATACTTCATTCATGGTATAACTTATCTAAAGTATTAACATATTTTTAATGGAGCACAATGACTATTTCCTAGTATATTTAGAAAGCATTTTATGTTTTAAGATATGTTAAGATTACTTGTTTATATAAGATAGAATGAATATTTAACTAGGCTAGAGTTAGCCTATTCCAACACAGTTTTTTCTGGGCGAACTACTTCTGTAGTGATACCACCTTGGAAACCCAAGGAGGGAGGGGTTGCTATGAGTCAGGTCCAACTCGAGGGCATATAACAACAACATACTGATCACTTACTACTGACAGAAAACATACCATCTCATAGTTTCTAGGCTAAAAACAGCTTTCATAAAATATCCAGAACAAGTATAGTCAAAGAGAAAAAAATGACTAATAACATAGATCCAGTTATTTAAGAGCTCTCAAGTTATTTGTAAGCCATGAAAATATTGCACGTGATGATGGGTATTATTGAAAAAGTAAATTAATAAGTATGCTATTATTAATACGGTAAGGCATTTCTTCATGTTTCTGTCAGTAAAACAGGTTGCGTAGTTTGAACTCAACCTCAGATCAAGAAACAATTTAAATATAGCTGGCATGTATTACTCGTATCTATGGATCATACAAAGGGAAAATGCTATTGAAATTTAAGACTTCTAAATGCCAAGTTTGTTTGGGCAAGTGACAATATTTTTTCAGTTACATATTTGTGCCTATATAACAATACCAAAATATTAACCCTTCAAAGGTTATATTATACTGTAAAGGAGCCTCATTATATATTTTGTTTCTTCAAAGCATTATCTCTTTCTGCTTTATATAAAAAAGCTTCTCCCCATTATACTAGTATAAGACAGTGTATCCAGATATAACCGACACTAAATTTTGTAGTGCCAATTTCTTATATATGTTAGCATTTAAATTATTTTAAGTTTGATACATGTTTATAAATAAGAATACACTAAAATGGTTTTTGACAAAGTATTTTAATGTTACCATAGAAGCCACTAAAACAAGTATCCATGCTTTTGTGGCATATAGGACAGGCAAACATTAGGCTTTGAGATCCCAATGTATATTTTTTGGTCAGCCATAATACGTTCAAGCGCCCCACTGTATACAAGAAATGCCTGAAACTTTCTAGGTTTCTTTACAATTTTTACTCTCACTTAAAGGTTCTAGATACATGAGTGAAGTATAACCTTCATTTAAAATAGGAACAACTACTAAAGAAAACAATAATCAAAATCCAGTAAACTTTTTCAACTTCCATTAGCATAGGTCAGTAAAAATGCTTCAGGCTATTTTTATGACAAATTTTTCTTAGGCAATAATTGAAGATTATATCTTTTACCATGGAGAATATAATTTAGATGTTAAAGACTATGTTAAGAGATTGGAATAATCTCAAAAACAAATTCATACTCACTTTCATATGATAACCTTAGTAGAAGTACCACTTTAAGTGATAATCCACAAGACTCTCATAATTGTTTCTCACTGAATTTGTAGTTATCCCAAAATTTCAAGATAAAAATAGCTATTCAAGATCAAATCTGTGGTTACTATGTATTATGACTTTCACTTGCATGAAAAAGATTTTGCTTACCTAAATTTACCCCATCTTCAAACAGTGACAAAAACTATACAAATCTATCTTGTTTGAATATAAAATAAAGCTAAGATTACAGAAGCAATCACAAACCTAGAAAAACAAAATGTTAAATCACTTTTAGTTCTAAAATACCTTCTCTTCAGGCTAAAACTTGTGATCTCCTTTTATTCAATCCTTACTGAAAACAAGGTACAATTCTTGTGCATTTTAAAGGTAATAACACTTTTTAAAACAAACTCTTCTCTTTATCTTGTAGAGATTTGCTTCAGATTTTTTTTCCATTTCCCCACCAAAATTCTTGTTTCTGTCAACTTTGTTGTTGATAAATAGAAATAAGCATCCATATTAAGCAAAATAAATATGGAAACAAAAATCATAAATATTAAGATAATATAATCATAGTATAATTTAAATTTGTTTTGGTGAATGCAATTAGGAACTTGTTAACTATATACTTGTTATGTGCATATCTAAATATTTCCCTATTATTTGATCATCAAATAACCAAGCCAAACTCACTGCCATCAAGTTGGTTCTGATAGTGACCCCATTGAGTTTCTGAGGTGGAAAATCTTTATGGAAATAGATTGCCCCATCTTCTGTGCAGCAGCTGGTGGGTTTGAACCCCCAACCTTCAGGTTAGCAGTCAAATGCCTTAAGTACCTCACCACCAGAGTTCCATTATTTGATCATACAAATACACATATTTCTAGACATGATTTTAGGCTCTAGACAATTACAATCCAAAAATACATACCCATCATCAGAACCACTGCAAAGAATTCCTTCCCTCAGAGGAGACCATCTGACATGAAACACTTTTGCTTTGTGTCCACTGAATACTTTCAATGGTTGATCAGAGCTGGTGGCTACATAATAAACCCGAACATTTTTGTCTTCACAGCCAGTGGCTATCATATCTCTGAAATATAATGGTACATTAAAATATGAAAATGTTGATATTGTTTATTTATAATAATTTAAAAGTTAGAACATTTCTGATATTTACAAATAAGAATTTGTCTGAGCTGATGGTTACGTATTAAATACTGGGCTCTTAAGCAAGGCTGGCTTTCCAAAATCATCCACGTAAGTTTCCACAACTTGGGAAACTACTGAACACAGTGACAAGGTAAAGTCACGGTGGAATAACACCAATGTCTAGAATCCTAAGAGAGTTTAGAGAAAGGGCAACATGCCTATGGTAGAAGACACACATAGAATGAACTTATTTTCATGTTTCATTAGTTAGCCCTATGCTTTTTGCAAAGTATCAGGAAGTTGTTTTGAGAACAGGAAATCAGTATTTCTAATGCACGTAAAACTTCATGAAATGAAAATAGCTACAATAAATGAGCATTTACAAGGCTCCACATTTTCTAGGCAAGGGGGATATTATCAAAGAAAAAAAGTATGATTATTTGGTGGCATACTGCCTTAGGCATTTGACTGCTAACCAGAAGGCTGATGGTTCAAACCCACCAGCCACTCCTCAGAAGGAAGATGGGGCAATCTACATCTGTAGAGATGTTGTTGTTGTTGTTATGTGATGTCGAGTTGGACCTGACTCATAGCGGAACTCTGCTTGGGTTTCTGAGGCAGTATCACTACGGAAGTGGCTGGTTAGTTTGAACCATCAGACTCCTGGTTAGCAGTCAAGTGCCTTAGGCACTGTGCTACCAGAGCTCCCTCTGTAAAGATACCATCTCGGAAACCCAAGGAGGGGTTGTTACGAGTCGGAATTGACTCAATGGCAGTGAGGGTTTTTTTTTTTTGTTGTTGTTGTTGTTTATTACTATTGTTATTGTTGTTGTTGTTTGCCGTCGAGTCGGACCCGACTCATAGCGACCCCTCCTTGGGTTTCCGAGGCAGTATCACTACGGAAGTAGATTGCCCCATCTTCCTTCCGAGGAGTGGCTGGTGGATTTGAACCGCCAGCCTTACTATAGGAGTAGCATTATGCTTTATGATTATTTAAAATCTCCTAAATGTAATTATTATTTCCAAGAAAGAACCAAAAAAACTTACTTGTTGTTTTGACTCCAATCACAACCAAAAACTGCAGCTGGATGCTTGTATTTGTGGAGCACTTTACCATCAATTGTTCGAATAATACTAAAATTAATAATGTTAATAGAAAAAAAAAACAGCATTGTTAATATATTATTCAATGGAACAGTCAGAGTGTATAATTCAAATACAAATATCTTAGGATAGAAAGCTTGTTTGCAAAGCACAAGGAACATTTAAAAGTGCTTTATAAATGATATTTCCAACTACATTTACATTTCAAAAAAATCCATTGCAGTTGAGTCAATTCGGACTCATAGTAACCCTATAGGACCAAGAAGAACTGCCCCATAGCATTTCCAAGGCTGTAAATCCTTACAGAAACAGACTGCACATCTTTCTCGCATTGGTTTGTATGAATTGCTTACATTTTGGTTAGCAGCCAAGTACTTTAACCATAAATTTTGAGTTAGATACTATTACTTAATGACTTTTTTGAGGAAAAATATAATTTAATAAAGTTTTGAAATACAATGAAATAAGACATGCATTTGCTTCTCAGCTTTAAATTTTAATAGTTCAAAATTTATTTTTGTAACAACTCATGTATAAAAGTGGTTGCATAAGCTATTAAACCAAGACTAAGATATATAATATATTCGTGGAATATTCTCAGTGATAATGGTTAAAATTGACAGAATAGTCCCAGATTAAGTGCTCTAACAGCTTACTATCTTATTACTGTAATGTAAGCGCTATGGTTCTTTTAGGAGAAAAAGAAAGCTGTGTATAAATTAATGTATTCGTCGTCATCGTCGTTATGTGCCGTCGAATGGGACCTGACTCATAGCGACCCCTCCTCGGGTTTCCGAGGAGGTATCACTGTGGAAGTAGATTGCCCAACCTTCCTTCCGAGGAGTGGCTTGTAGGTTTGAACTGCCAGCCTTCTGGTTAGCAGTCAAATGGAATTACGCCACCAATTTAAATAAGACCTTCCAATGATAAAAGTCTTTGAATAAGACCAAAAGCTGGATGGGTCTAATGACATTTAAGAAGCTAAACGTTGTTAGACCCATCAAACTTTTAGGTCACTGGGGAGTTTTAGTGATTTTTGCTTTCAAATGTTTAGTCACTGAATGTGGAATTTACCAAAAAAATAAAAACTGAAAAACCAAACACACTGCTGTCAAGTTGGATCCGACTCATAGCGACCTCTCCTTGGGTTTCTGAGGTGGTATCCAAGATTGCCCAATCTTCTTTCAGAGGAGTGGCTGGTAGGTTTGAATCGCCAACCTTCTGGTTAGAAGTCAAGTGCCTTAGGCACTACACCACCAGAGCTTGTACCAAATAAATTGTTGTTGCTGTTATGTGCGGTCGAGTCAGATCCGACTCATAGAGACCCCTCCTTGGGTTTCCGAGGCAATATCACTACGGAAGTAGATTGCCTCATCTTTCTTCCCGAGGAGTGGCTGGTGGGTTTGAACTGCCAGCCTTCTGGTTAGCAGTCAAATGCCTTAGGCACTATGCTACCAGAGCTCCCACCAAATAAACAGTGCCCTGAAAATACATGCTAAGGCTAATTATGTATTAGTTGTTGTTGTTGTTGTTATGTGTCGTGGAGTCGGACCCGACTCATAGCGACCCCTCCTTGGGTTTCCGAGGCAGTATCACTACAGAAGTAGATTACCCCATATGTACTCATAGCGACCCCTCCTTGGGTTTCCGAGGCAGTATCACTACAGAAGTAGATTACCCCATATGTACTCATAGCGACCCCTCCTTGGGTTTCCAAGGCAGTATCATTACAGAAGTAGATTGCCCCATATGTACTACTTAATAAAAAAATCTCTTAGGTTTATGTTTTTCTATTCTGGTATCTACCAATTACTAAATAGTTCCTTTCAAGGAAAGAAACCACCAATATCGTTATTTCTAAATATTTTAACTTCCTGGTTTCCAAAGTGACTGTCTTCTCCAACTGAAATTAATAGGGGGTATATTCTCAATAAAGGACTTCTGGTGGTGCAGTGGTTAAAACATACTGCTGCTAACCAAAAGGTTGGCAGTTAGAAACCACCAGCTACTCCGCAAAAGAAAGAAGAGGCAGTTTACTTTTGTAAAGATTTACAGCCTTAGAAATACTATAGGTAGTTCTACTCTGTCCTATAGAGTAACTATGAGTCAGAATCCACTCAGTGTTGGGTTATTCTCAACAATCATGAGTATCTATACCACCAGATTTATTACCTGTCAAAGATGACTATACCCGTAGCTACAGGATAGCATTATCTGAATTTTTCTTTTTTTTATATATAATTTTAAACCAAAGACAATTCTCCCCTTACGTATTTTCACTTGGCAACCTACTTTTTTCATGGGCTGTAACACCATTAAGAAAGTGCCCATTTCTGTAACACAGGGTCAGAAAACTGTCACTGTTATCGAGTCAGATCCAATTCAGAGTGACCCCTCCTTGGGTTTCTGAGGAAGTATCCCTAAAGAAGTAGATCACCCAATCTTCTTTCCAAAGAGTGGCTGGTGAGTTTGAACCGCCAGCCTTCTGGTTAGCAGTCAAATGCCTTAGGCACTATGCCACCAGAGCTCCCTCAGAACAATCAGCTCCTAAAAAAAAAAAAAAAAGCACTTTCCACTTGCATTACCTTATTCTTCCTCACAAAGGCTTTCTCTGCTTTTATAAACAATATCTCAAAATTGTGAACAAGTTTCTAGAACACTTCACTTATCTTGAATTACCAGTGAAACTGAAGTAACACTCCTCCTAAAATGTTACAAGATTTATTTAAATCCTTTGTGAAACATCCTTGGAGTTTCTTTGAGGCAATACAGAGTGCATTAGTCATAATTCAGGTAGGACTTTCATTTAAAAAGTAATAAGTAGTTCATTTATTTATTTTTTGAACACCAATATATCGTTATTTATTACTGAAACATCAGAGGAATGTATCAGGTGCCCATATGTCTGTCAATAATATTTATGATAGCTGGCAGAGCTGTAAAAGTGAAATCTGAAAATATTTTAATGTATGTGCTAACATGATACAAGTGGTATTATCAAGGGTATCTTTTGTAAACAGTGCAATTTTATACACAGTACTTACCAGAAACCATCACCACTGCAGGTTGCTATTCTTTTGAAATCTTTATGACTCCAGGCAATGCAGAATATTCCATTTTTTCCATGCTTCAAAAAATGCAAAATACCTATCAATAAGAAATAATTCACCCCTTTTTTTCTTATTTATTTACTTCTTCTAAGTATTACTTTTCTGTTTTCTCTAAGTGATACTAGCAGACATTCTGGTCATTAGTGGTCGGCTAAATATATACTTTAAGAGAGTTCAAAACTATCAATTTTTTAAAACAAAAACCATTTTCAGGGCATAACTTGGGTGTCTCTATTTCTTTTTGTTAAACACAAGTGAAGAGCCAAAATCCAATTCCTCAGCCCTGCACAGAATTAAGCCCTACTCAATACCTTCCTTAGTAATGCCAATGTGAAGATCAAGATGCCTAACTGGCTATTAAACACAGTACTGTTATAACCACAGTGCAACATAGATGATAGAAATGTTGCAATCAATTGTTACTGTTGTTTCTTCCTCTGAATTTCAAAGTTATATTTTTATAAAAATATAACTTTTTATAAAGGACATGTTATACTCATTCATGTATTTCTCAGCATTCAGTAGCATAATTAAGGCCAATATCAAAATTTCAAAAATCCTGGATAATAAAAACAAGAAAAATTAAGTGCCAGTTTTGATTAACTAAGTGGCACAGGCCTCACAAAAGGATGTGAAGATATTAGAGATCCTATAATAAGCTAAAAAACAAACCAAACCAACTACCATTGAGTGGATTCTGACTCATAGCGACCCAATTGGTTTTCCAGGGTTGTAAATCTTTACAGTAGTAGATTGCCTCATCTTCCTCCCACGGAGCAGCTGATGGGTTTTAACCACTGACCTTCTGGTTAGCAGCCAAATGTCTTACTCACTCAGCCACTGTTGTTGTTCTTGTTGTTATGTGCCGTCGAGTCAGCCCCGACTCATAGCGACCCCTCCTTGGGTTTCCGAGGCAGTACCACTATGGAAGTAGGATTGCCCAACCTTCCTTCCGAGGAGTGGCTGGTGGGTTTGAACCGCCAACCGTCTGGTTAGCAGGCAAGTGTCTTAGCCACTTATTCCTATAATAAATCACTCTGAATTTATGTGTTCCTCTGCATTCTTGGGCTGGGAAATGTTTCAGGGTATATTTACAGCTGGTAGATGAAAATTTTTTGAAACACAGAGAATATATTATGCATGGAAATGTAATTCACCAACTGTGTCATGGGTGAATGAAGGTTGTGGTCAATTCACTTCCAAATTTTCATTTAAAAAATCTGAATTTTATTTGGTACCTGAAGTGTGACTACATTTAAATGGGAAGTAAAATGATTCTTACACTTTAGTAAGCATAAGTCTAAGTAAGTGATTCATAACAGGAACTCTGGTGGCATAGTGCCTAAGGCATCTGACTGCTAATCAGAAAGTTAGCAAATCCACCAGCCACTCTGCAGAAGGAAGACGCACAATCTACTTCTATAACTCAGTGTGGGTCATTATGAGTTGGAATCAACTCGATGGCAGTGGGTTTGAAAGTGATTCTTATCCTGAATTTTAAGACTATTTTATAAATATGCATTTTAAAATTCATAAGGGAATCTACAGTTTGCTGATGTTACCTTTTTTTGGGGGGTAGGGGTGGGCAGTCTTAAGAAAGGTAGATCTAAAAACAGAACTAGTCCTTTTACTTGTTCAGTTTCAGGGGCTTTCAGATTTGCTTATCCTCATGAAAAGTTGATTTATGGATCTCTAATATCTTCACATCCTTTTGTGAGGCTTATGCCACTTAGTTAATCAAAACTGGCACTTAATTTTTCTTGTTTTTATTATTCAGGATTTTTGAAATTTTGATATTGGTCTTAATTATGCTACTGAATGCTGAGAAATACTTGAATGAGTATAACATGTCCTTGATACTAAGATGCTCAGTTGCTGGAACCAAAGTGGGAGCTGTTCTAATGCTAATGAGCAGGTATTTTAGGTTATAAAATGCCAAATGGCCACAAGGTGAAAACAACAGATCTGATCCCTAAGGATAAAAATTTTAAATCTATGTCAAAAGTTTCATGTGCAGGCTTATTTCTTCTTTTCTATTTATATTCCATTATATATTATGGGATACATGTTCTTCTGGTGATGGAACAGCAGAGTGAGGGCTTTCCTGAGCAAAAAGAGCATTGTCACATGTGGAGAAAGATGGAAGAATGCAATCTATATAATCCTCCAACAAAGGTTCCTCTAGTGAGTACACAATTGCTTACTGGTGGGTTGTAAAGTTTCCTTAATGATATGCACTCACTACATTCCTGCATCTCCAGGAGAACAAGGCTGTTAAAGGACATCCTCACGGGGATAACAGTCTTTTGTATAAATGGTTTTAAAGCTTCAATTATGTCTACAATTTTCAAAGAAATTAAATATATATATTATCTGGTTATTAGCTATTACATTAACAGAGAAAAAGTATTTTAAAAATATGACGTGGTATAAGACTTTTTTTTTAATTGAGCTAACAATAAATACATCTTACCTCATTAAATCGTTGTACCATTTTGCCTTTTTTAATATCCCAAATAAAAGCACCATTTCGGCAAGTTGCCCCAGCAATGCAATTTAAATCACCTTAGAAAACAATTTGTTAGATATTATATTTAATGTCTGCCACAAATGCAGTTCTTCTAAAATAAAATGCTATTGCTGGAAATGTAAGACTTGAGATTTACAAAATAGTGCCCTTTTAATTTTTTTTGCTATGGAAATGATCAAATGTATGCAAATATAGATAAAAGAATATAATAAATTCACACCACTTAAACAATTACAAAAATATAGCCAAAAAGTCCTTACTGGATTTCTTTGAAGCAAATCTCTGACATGATTGAAGCAATAAATACTTCAGTATGGATGTCTAAAAAACCACCAGCATCACTAGATGTTGTCGAGTTAATTACACCTAATGGCAACCCCATGTGTAACAGTTGAGCTGTGCTCCATAGGGTTTTCAATAGCTAATGTTTTGGAAGTAGTTCATCAGGCTTTTCTTCTAAGATGCCTCTGGGTGCACTTGAACCTCCAACTTTTCAGTTTGCAGCACAGTGCATTAACCATCTTCACTGCCGGTAGACAGTGACTCTTTTATTAAGATAACCAAATTATCACACTCACACCTATGAAACTGTCAATAATTCCTTAATATTTTCATACATCTAGTAAATGTTCACAATTCCCTGATTGTGTAATGATTTTTTTTTAATGGTTAGGAAAATGTTTCTAGAAGCAGAACACATGAAAATGTGTCATTCAGTCTCTCTATAAAAAATACAAACAATAATTTCTGATTTAAAATTTATGTTTTTCAAATAAAAAAAATCTATGAAAAACTGCTGCTAAGTTACTAGATGATGATAACTCAAGGAGCTAAACAAAGATTTTTTTTTTGCAAGATAGTAAAAGAAGAGGCTTTCTCCATTAGGAGAAAGGAACAGTTGTCATCTGCTGATGGGAGTATAAATACGGAAGAATTACTTTGGTATAAATGATTATAATGCTAAAAAAAATAAGTCCTCAACAAATTTCTAGTATTTTCATTCTGCTCTCCTTTCTAGGTTTCTAAATTATTGGACAGAAGTTCTCCTATAGTTTGTACTTTTCTTTTTTTCTCTTTTTTTCCTGTGGTATCTACTCTAAAGTATAGAAAAAAATTTAAAATATCTATATTGTTGTTATGTGCTGTCGAGTCAGACCTGACTCATAGCGAACTCTCCCTTGGGTTTCCGAGGCCATATCACTACGGAAGTAGATTGTCCGACCTTTCTTCTGAGGAGTGGCTGGTGGGTTTGAACCACCAGCCTCCTGGTTAGCAGTCAAGTGCCTTAGGCACTATGCTACAAGAGCTCCTAATCCATATTCCAATCTATGTCCTTGCCATCCTTCATTAATCTTTTAATTTTCATCCACATGTAGCTAAAAATACAATTCATCAGTAATGACATAAGAAAATTTCCATTTTCCAAAATTTTTACTTACTTGATGCAAATTCTCAATATAGTGAAAGAATGCTTTAAGTAAGGTGAGGCTTTCTGTGTTATGATTTGAAAACCATAGTATTTATAGTCAGAATTTCTATTTAAGTTTTAGAGTTTAGACTATGGCATAAGAATATCAACTAATGAGAAAAAGTCTACTTTTGTATTAGGAATAATGTTCAACTAGTTACTGGTATAATGCTGTGCTACTGTACTGGCTTACCCAATTCTTATGTCCCTAGTCAATTATTGTAATACACATGAAGATGTGTATTACAATAATTAAGAGCACAGGCTTATGAATAAGACTGGAAATTGTTCAAATCTTAAGTCTGTGCTATTATTTACTTGAGTAAATTACTCAATTTCTGGGATCTAAGACCTTTTAAATAAATGATGGCCATCACAATGAAAAGGTAACATAGAGACAGATGAAGAAGGGAACAGGTAAGAGATTTTGTTCTTTTTGTGCTGCGTCCTTCATGAGTGAAGGAATGTTTTATTCTTTCAATTAGTTCTGTATCTATAATGGCAGTAGATATGTTCTGCTTAAAGGAACAACTACTGTCATTTAATGTTGTAAGTAAAACATTTTCCTAGAAAACCTTCCTCATTGTAGAAAAGGAGGGATACATAAAACAGTGGTTCTTAACACTTTCTGTGTCTGGACCCCTTCTAAAACTCAAATCATTTTGACAGATCCAGGCATATACAAACAGTAACTAAAAATTATTTATATAATTACAAGAGAGTCTCCCCCAACAAACCTCCAACAAACTCACTGCTGTTGAGTTGATTTGACTCATAGCGAACCCTCCTTGGGTTTCCAAGGTGGTATCTCTATGGAAGTAGATTGCCCGGTCTTCCTTCCAAGCAGGAGCTGGTGGGTTTGAACAGCCAGCCTTCCGGTTAGCAGCCAAATGCCTTAGGCACTACACCACCAGAGTTCCCAGACTATGAAAATATCTGTAACTTGTGGGCCAACAGATTCAATGTCAAGAATTCATCTGTTTTGGGAGATATGCTAACAAATAAGCTATTACACTAGTTATGTGTGGAAATTAATATATTACTACTGGGGAAAAAAAGTAAAGTATTATATTGTAAAACCATCCTTTCTATAGCAAAAAATTTACTTAGGTGTGTAAAATTGTTTATTATAGGGGAAAGGTACTATTTGGGGAGAAAATGTCAGAGGTTTGACATTATGCACAGAAACTCTCTGAAATCAAAGAAAAGGCAAAACTTTATTATGGTATAAAAATTCTTTAATACCACAAAGGTACAATTCATATAGAATATGATCACAACTGATATATAATCATTCATATCTATAAAAAAGATGTATCAGGGAAGATTTAGATAATAAATTTCTCTTTTAAGTGATTTTATTTCATAAATTTGATTTACATGCAATTTTCCAGGATAACTTGTATCATGTGAAATCATTATACCTTTGTGTATCTATACAAATGCAGTTAAAATCAGAGAGGTTAAGATCATCCTGGTTTACTATTGCTTTTCTATATGATAAGAGGTTCTGGTGGTGTCGTGGATAAAGTATTCATTGCTAGCCAAAAGGTCATGGCTCAAACCCACCAGCTGCTCCATGGAAGGACAACTGGGTGATCTACTTTTATAAAGATTTACAGTCTTAGAAACTCAGTGGAGGTCTCTGAGTTGGAAAAGACTTGATGGAATGAGTTTTTTTTTTTTTTTTTTTTTTGATTTTCTGTATGATTATATTATTTGAAAGGGCCAGGGATCAAAGTCTCTCTGCAGGTAGTCTATTCTAAAACTCTACCAAAACTAAAAACTAACCTAACATGTCAATACTAAAATATTTCTATAATCATTTGAAACAAGATAACTCTAACAGGAAAAAGATATTTCAGATGAAAATAAAATCTAGGAAAACTCATTTAATGTATTCCAAATTTTAATAAAGTACTTCTTACCTGGAGCCCATGAAAGGGAATAAATAACCCCTTCATTTCCAGGGGAAGTGTATACTGCTGTTAATGTATTTATATCCCAGACTTTTATAGTGCCATCAAATGAAGCTGTTGCTAAAAGATTAGGATTATCAGGTTTGAATTTGCAGTCAAAGATAGTTTCCACATGTCCCTAAGAATACAGCATAAGAACATCAACTAATGAGAAAAGTATATTGCTAGGAAAAACTTCAAAGTTCATATTATTTGAAAACAAAGCATAATATGTAATCAAGCTGACACATGTACAATAGTTTTCAAAACGTTAATGAAAAATAGACAAGCAAAAAAGCATAGAATTGGGATCACCTCTGTGATGAATGTATCAGTGTTGTTACAATATTATTTTGTAGTATAATAATAATTCAAAGAAAAAAACACAAGATAAAACGAAAACTATGAGTCCTCCATATTCCAAGAAAACTCCACAATTGACATGCAATCACTCCTTCAACTCTCATCACACAACAGACAGGGTAAATGGTGTCATAACATCTCCCAAGAAAACTCCACAATTGTAGCATGGCAGAAATAAGAATCAGGCATGGCCCTAATTTTTAATGAAGTTTGTTCCAAAATTCTCTAGCATATCTAAAGATTAGAATTTGATGGATCTGTTCCCATTACATGGTGGTCTGGATCCCAAACAGCCTACAAGACTGTAAAGTAGTTTATACAAGTCAATGTAAACATAAACCTTTAAAGTGGAGCTTAACCACTATGTACCTATGTGAAAGTCTGTGTAGAGCTCAAGTTAAATGGCCAGAGTTACATTTTGTCTTTTTCCAAATGTTGTAGAATGGGAATTAAAACTCCTACTTCAAGTGGCAGAAATTAAAATATGTTTGGATCTGGGGAGGAAGTAAAGGTACAAGGATAAGGCTTCCCATTTCTAAACTGTTGTAGTAAAGGATAGAAGGGAGTTCTTTAAATTCTCTGTTTCTCCATTAACAGCAGCAATCACAATCTTCAGAAAACTGAAATGGCCTACAAGTCTCCTTTTTAGGTGAAAGGCAGATAAGAAAAAAATCTCACAGGTTAACAAGAGGGAGGGAAAGAGGTTTTTCCGGCTACTGGTACACCTAGCTGGAGTAGTTCCAGGCTGGTACACTCACTTTTAAGAATATACTTAAGGCAGGACTACCTGTATGCGTATTTTTTAAATGTGATCTTACCACCACTATGCCTTTAAATTTTATTTTAGAAATTGGAAAAATCACATACTAGGAACCAAATTATAAATATTTTTTGTTTTCTGCTTACGAAGAGGTAAATTTTGTAGCATGTTTATTTTTATCAATCAAACATTTACATGGAAGTATATATGTTAGGAGCTCTGGTAGCATAGTGCCTAAGGCACTTGACTGCTAACCAGAAGGCTGGCGGTTCAAACCCACCAGCCACTCCTCGGAAGGAAGGTTGGGCAATCCTACTTCTGTAGTGATACTGCCTCGGAAACCCAAGGAGGGGTCGCTATGAGTCGGGGCCGACTCGATGGCATATGACAACAACAAACAACATACATGTTAGTAAGCATTTTAACAAGCTTTTATTTATCCATGTAATTTGGAATCTATGAAGATGCTTTATCAGAATCAGATGTTTCTTCTGGTAACACTTCTAGCAATCTCAAATTTGGAGCTAAGTTGAGAGAAATTATAAGGAAAAAATTACTGCCTCTTCTAAATAACAGATGTTTTATTTTATTTTTAATATATAAAATATTCACATTTTGAAAGGAAGTATCAACTTTATTAAAAAGATATGATAATGCTACAATTCAGTGGTTTATATTTTGTAGCTGTAGATTTCTACTCAATTCCATACATCGTAAGACATTCAGAAAACTGGAAGACATGTTGTTTGTTTAATGTTTTTATTTATTTATTTGTTTTAACTTTTTATTGTAATTTGGGTAAAAGTTTGCAGAACAGATTAGTTTTCCATTCAACAATTCATACATATTTTCTTTTGTGACACTGATTGCAGTCCCCACAATGTAACAGTGCTCTTCCCACTGCCTCCCTGTGGTTACTGTTTCCATTTTGTCCTTCTTTCCTATCCCTTCCTGCCTTCTGAGCTTTATCCCGAGGCAAATGCCACCCTTTTGATTTCATATAGTTGATTGCTCTAAGGAGTGCATACCTCCCTAGTGTTACTGTTCACTTTATAGGCCTGTCTATTGTTTGGCTGAAAGTTGAGCCAATAGCAGACATTTTAAAAGTGAGAAGAACAGGTGAAATAATTTTTAATTGAAGAATTTTTTATACATTTGAATCACAAATTTAAAAAAGATTTTAAATGAAGCATATTTTAATGAGGATAAAAAAAAATGACATTTACTCAATTTCAACTCATACTGACCCTAAAAGTCCCATAGGGTTTCCAAGGCTATAAATTTTTATTGAAACAGATTGCTCCATCTTTCTCCCCTGGAGTGGCTGATGGGTTTGAATTGCTGACCTTTGGTTAGCAGCTGAGCACTTAACCACTGAGCCACCGAAGTTCTTTTAATGAGGATATATACTTTAACAGAAAATCTATTGAACTTACACTACATGATATTTTACCAGTTACAGATTTAACTTCACTCTTACAATTTTCTTCCTTTCCATTTTTTAAAAGTAAATGGCAATTTGAATTACTAGAGGAAATGTACACACTAAGAAAAATTGGAAATATATAAATATGGAAATAAAATTCAGTCATCTTCTAATGAGTATCTACTAAAAGGCCAAAAATATCAAAATCTCTGCCATTGAGAGGATTTCGACTCATAGTGACCCCTCCTTGGGTTTCTGAGGAGGTATCTCTATGGAAGTAGATTGCCCAATCAACCTTCCTTCCTAGAAGTGGCTGGTGGGTTTGAACTGCCAGTCTTCTGGTTAGCAGCCAAATGCCTCTTTTAAAATAAACTACAAAATTGTTTCAAAATATTTTTTGCTAAAGTGCAATGTTTTTCATTTTGAGGGAAAAAATTAAATTTGTAGTGTTGAAATGCCACACTGTTACTGTTTCTTTCACTTCTTTTTCTTACCAGAAAAAATATAGCTCTATGTTCTTTTTCTAAGTGAGATCACAGAAAAAAAAAAAAAAATTTAGGTTTCCTAATGTCTAGATTAGCGTAATTCAAACTTGTAATAAGGGACATTTTTATAAACTCTGACCCAGGGAGAATTATTTTTGGTAAATATTAATTACAACATAATATGTATTATTTCATGTCTGCATTCATTCATTCACTCATTCATTCAATAAAGCTTAACAAAACTCTTGCTATGTGCCAGGTATTATTTTAGGAAGTAAGGATAAAGCACAGAAAAACAACAAAAAGACAAAAATGTGGGTCCCCAGAGGAGGTATGTTGTTGATGTTGTTATGTGCCATTGAGTCGGACCCGACTCCTAGCGACCCCTCCTTGGGTTTCCAAGACAGTATCACTACGGAAGTAGATTGCCCCATCTTCCTTCCGAGGAGTGGCTGGTGGGTTTGAACCGCCAGCCTTCTGGTTAGCAGTCAAGTGCCTCAGCCACTATGCTACCAGAGCTCCTCAATAGCAACTAATAACAACTAGTATTCTGACAGTAATTCTGATAACAATTCAATAATACAAATGAAACTTAGAAACCTCAATTCAACCTTGCTCACAAATAAGAATAAGGCTTGGAGTAACTGGCAGAGATGGATATCTCCTTCCTCCTAAAATAATATCCTATTTCTCGTTGTGCTTCCAGAATATAATACAGTTATACAATTTTCCAATATTATTTACTATAAAACATAAACTAAGTAGATACTAATATTTAAAGAAGTATAATGCTTAAAATTTAAAGATATTTAATAGTTTTGTCATTATTCCATACATTTTCCCAAAATGTTTCAGCCAACTAAGATGAAGTTATAACATATCATTATTTACAAAAATAATTTTTAATAATACTAATATGTAGATAAAATTAAACACATTAGATTTATAAAACAGAACGATATATAATAGAATAATATGGTATTACAATGACAACAGACATACCATATCCCTAAAAAAATCCCATTTCTTGGCTCCCATATCATAAAGTCCAACTCCACCATCCAAGAAACAGCACACTGCATGACCAGGAGGAAGAGAAAATGTTTGATTCTGTGTTAAATTTGGGAGTGGGACTGCTTCACTGGTTGAGGATGTATAATGATTTTTGGTTGGAGACTGGATTGAAACTGTTTAAAAAAGAAAGAAAGAAAAGAATAAACAGGTCAGTGTTATGCTCATCTACTAAACCAAAGGTTGGTGGTTCAAACCCACTCAACAACACAGTAGAAGAACAGCCTGGTGATCTGCTTCCATAAATATTATAGCCAAGAAAACTCATGGAACAGTTCTACTCTAACACATGGAAGGCCATGAGGTGGAATTGATGCAAATGCAATGGGTTTTTTTTTTTGTTTTTTTTTTTGTTATTTACACCAATAACTTCCCATATCCTCATATGAAACCAAGACAGCTTAATTCATAAAGATAACTCATTGTTCCCCTTTATACTAGTAGTTGGAAAATATGGCCTTGGTGATAAAAAAATAATGCTGGAGATTGCATGATAGAATTTTGCAAGACCAAAGACTTATTCACTGTAAATACCTTTTTTAAAAACACAAATGACAGCTATACACATGGACTTCACCAGATGGAGTACACAGGAATGAGATCTACTATATCTGTGGAAAGAAGCGATGGAGAAGCTCAATGTCTTCAGCCAAAACAAGACAAGGAGTTGACAGTGGAACAGATCATCAACTGCTCATATGCAAGTTCAAGTTGAAACTGAACAATTAAAACAAGTCCACAAGAGCCAAAATATGAACTTGAATATATCCCTTCTGAATTTAGAGACCATCTAAAGAATAGATTTGATGCACTGAACACCAATGACTGAAATCCAGAGGAATTGTGGGATGATATCCAAAACACCATCCATGAAGAAAATAAAAGGGATTAAAAAAAAAGGAAAGGAAGAAAAGACCAAAATGGATGTCAGAAGAGAATCTGAAACTTGCCCTTGAGCAGAGAGTAGCTAAAGTAAACAGAACACTGACAAGATGACAGAGCTGAACAGAAGATTTCAAAGAGCACTTTGAGAAGACAAAGTCAATTATTATAATGAAATGTGCCAAGACCTGGAGTTGGTAAACCAAAAGGGAAGAACATGCTCCCCATTTCTCAAGATGAAAGAACTGAGGACAAAATTTAAGCTCCAAGTTGCAATATTGAAAGATTCTATGGACAAAATATTGAATGATGCAGGAAACATCAAAGAAGATGGAAGGAAAACAGAGTAACTGTACCAAAAAAAAATGGTTGATGCTCATCCATTTCAGGAGGTGGCATATGATTAAGAAACAATGGTACTGAAGGAAAAAGTCAAAGCTGCACGGAAGGAATTGGTGAAGAACAAGGCTCCAGGAATTGATGGAATACCCACTGAGATGTTTCCACAAACAGTTGTCACACTGGAGGCACTCACTTGTCTATACCAAGAAATCTGGAAGACAGCTACCTGGCTAACTGATTGGAAAAGTTCCATATTTGTACCCATTCCAAAGAATGGTGATCCCACAGAACATGGAAATTATCAAACAATATCATTAATATCACATGCAAGTAAAATCTTGCTGAAGATAATTCAAAACCAGTTGCAGCAGTATATTGACAGAAAACTCCTAGAAATGCAAGCTGAACTCAGAAGAGAATGTGGAATGAGGTGTATCATTGCTGATGTCAGATGGATCTTGTCTGAAAGCAAAGAATACCAGAAAGAGGTTTACTTGTGTTTTATTGAGTATGCAGAAGCATTCGACTGTGTGGATCATAACAAATTATGGATAACACTGAGAAGAATGACAGCATATTAATAGGTTTTGTTTCGTTATCCAATCTGCAACTCTCCATCATGAGTGGTGCATTTAATCCATTAACATTCAGTGTACTTATTGGCAAGTATGAATTGGTTGTTGTCATTTTGTTAGGAGTTTTTTCATAGTGTCCCTGGTTTCTTTGTTCCATATTATTTTCTGTGCTGAGCTCATTATGTTTATGAATCGTGTTATAATTCCTTTTGTTGCTGTTGTTTTAGTATTTGCTGAATATTTGTGCTTGTCCTCTTTTTTATTGTGATGTTATGGTTTATCATTTTTCTTTGAGGTTTCCCTGTGACTTATAATTTTTTCCCCTGAGTTTAGAACAGTCCATTCTATCTTGCAACTCTCTTGACTTCCTCACCATTTAAAAGTTCTGTAACTATACAGTATTTTCCCTCTTTTTGGTTTGTAGTTGTTCTCATTTGTGAATTGATGTCTCTGGTTCCCTGTTTACAATCTTGTAAGCTTATTTTACTTTGGATAGGTCCATAGCTGTGGTTTCTGGGTTATGTCATCTTGTGTATTAATGGTTGGTTGTTGTTTGCTATTTTTGCTTCTCTGTTCAAAGGACTCCCTTTAATATCTCCTGTAAGTTCAGTATGGTTTTAA